CTGCTGCTGCTGCGGAGAGCCGCTCGTCGGTCAGCACAGCGCGAGCGCGCGCCAGCACCGATGACAGGTCCAGTCCATCTGCCCGGCAGCCAGCGCGGATCATCTGCCGGACGCTGTCCGGCAGGCCTGCCACGAATGCGCAGGCCAGCGCTCGCTCCGGCACTCCTCCGAACAGCGCCGCCAGCCGGCGGAGGTCAGCGAGGAATACGTCCGCCGACTCTCCTGGCATCAGTCGCCGAGCGGCGAACGCTTCATAGGCGGCGTACTCATCGAGAGCAAACGCCGCCTGGAGGGCGTCTCTCACGGCCGTCAGCGAGCAGCGACTGGCCGCCGGCAGCTGGGACCATACGTGGAAAGCACCGCCAGCGAGGCGCAGAGGAATCACAGTCTCGGCGGCCACTCCCCTCAGCTGGCACAGCATCTCAGCACGCGCCAGCCAGCTGACCACATCTTCGGTCCCGTCAAACTCCGGTATCAGCCGCGCATCAAAGGGTGCCGACGGTACCGCGACCACAGGCTGTGAGACGGTTGCCGAGTCTGTCACACCACCATCACCAACCGGCACCGGCGCTGTCACCGGTCGCGGGACGATTGTCGGCGCCACCGCACTTGCCATCACCGGAACCTGGTCCAATGACACTGTCACGTTCGTCGTCATAATGCCGAAATAGCTTGTATTTAAACTCGCACAGAAATAAAACCGACTTCGCAAAAACAACGCTCGGCGGCCGCCCCGCGCCGCTCCCTCCCGCGCTCCCTCTCGCCGACCGACTCGCCGCTGATCCATTTTCCACAACAAATCCCAGCCGCACGCGACAACTCACACGCGCGCCGTGCACCGGACGCGCCTCCGCACAGCGGCAACTACACCCCCACGGCCCCAGAGTTGTGGGGGCAAGCTGCCCCCAATGCCCACCCCCGGTTCCCGCGCCTATGTATGAATCTATGAAATAATGTTGGTAGATTTCCGATTTCGATTTCTCCAGTTAGAGGGGCTCAAATACATTACGAGCCCCCCCAGCCGAAAAGTTGGAGGGGCTCAGCCCCCGCTAGCCCCCCCCCCCCCCCCGGTTCCCGCGCCACTGGTGGCTGCTAGGGTTTTTCGGGGTGCTGATCACAAATATCATGTTAGGTTTGATCAAACATGATACCTTCATGCATTTAGGCCAGGTCGGGTCAAGTCAACCAGTAGGTTCCTGCCGGTAAATATATAGTAGGTGTCAACCGCCACTCATAGCTTCGTAACATGTTACAAAGGCACCAAAACTACTTCTTAAATGTTCAAACGGATGTTGAATTCTAAATGAGCTTCAAAACCTGTCATAGACACATGTAAAACTCGAAAAGTGAATCAACGTCACCAAAGGTCAATGACCTAACCTGAGCTTCACGTTACCTTGACACCAACCATAATGCATGGGATCAACATAATATCCCATGTTTGAACTCTTGAAACCACAAAAAGAAGTGCAAAGGTGCGGATAGTGTGAGCCGATCGGCCAAACATGGTCTCAAGAAATAGGTCACAGGTCGAAGGTCCTTGGGGTCAGGGTCATGAAATTTTCGGGGTAGGTGTAAAATCGATAGACTCGAGGGTACCGACAGTTTCGTCGCGATCCGCTACTTTTTATGCGAGTCATTTGGAAAAAAAAACATTCGACCCCCTCTCCCCTCCTATACGGGCGAGGGTTGATGATGTTAAAACACCCTCGGTCCTGCGCGGTTGGCGCCGAGCACCGGCCCGGCGCGGGTTAAATACATTCATCTTGATGTAGATTCATCTTGCATTGAATAGATGCATAATTCTACCAAAATAACATGCTCTCAAATTTGGGTTTGTTTGACATTGTTTGACCTGACCTTCACTTGAACATGGCCTAAATTGTCCCTAATATTCGGACATGGCTTAAAAAAAAGCATGCCTAAACAAACAAACAAACGCAACATTAACAAAAAATACACGATCGCAGCAGAGTTTTGTTTCAATGTGACCTTTTGTGACCTGTCCTAGTGTCAAACCTGACCTACTAACAGTGACTTCACAAAGCAATGCATGCATAGCTAAAGCCAAATATTCGTTATAGAGAGAATATTATAAATTTGTTTTTGCGCCGGCATATTCCATTTAAGTGTAGCCCTGGAAAGTGTTGAACAATTACTTTGCGATGACCTGTAACTCCATCGTTGGGACCGAGGTCAATGCAGCTGAGTCACTTGGTAGATTTATAACCGCTATCGATGGCCTTCTTTGGAATTTTGAAAATCGACTTGATGGTTTTTGAGATAGCAAGAAGTCGAAACGCTCCTGTAACAATCATGAAAATGGCTAATTCCTCCCTGTGCTTCAGAACGGCCTGTCGGGTCGGGTCCGGCCAGACTGTCTGGGTCGGCTTCTGGCCGAGACATAGCTTCGGGCTATTGACCCGAGTGACCCCGGCCCGCGTCCACCTCCCCGCCCCACCGCACCCGGTCGACTGACCCGCCGACCGGTTTAGCCTCTGCGCTGGTCACCGATTCGTGCCTGTTTACGCACCCTACTCGCACTCCCATTCCGTAGTAAGCGGCTGACAGCTGAGCTCATTGAAGGCATGGTAGGGACGATTCTAGGAGGGGGGCAAAAAAACTTAGTCTCAGGACGGAAAATACAGAATTTTGTCTATTGTAGCCACACGGAGAGGTGGGTCTAGCCAACAAGGGGTTCAAACAAAGTCGTGTGGTATTGCGCGTCCCTCCGTTAGGACTTCCGCGCGCTCGGTAGCAGAGCCTTTGAGATATTGGCCGGTTTCGCTGAAACAAGTATAACCTACCACGCAGTGAGCAGAGGGCTGTACTTCCAACCGGCTTGTGCAAAGCACCCTTCTAACCGGTCGCTAGCGGTGTGCCAAATTTGAACGCAATCGGCCCAGCCGTTCCTGAGATCTGGAAGCGGCATTCTGCACGTGCGCACGTGCGAACGGGGTTCAAACTGACTTTTGCACGGCACCCTACTAACCGCTCCCCAACCGTGTACCAAATTTGAGCGCAATCGGCCCAGCCGTTCTCGAGATCTGGAAGCGCCCCCTGCACGTGCGCACGTGCAGTAGCACCCTAACCGCAACACATGGGAATGCATTGCCTGGTGGGTGCCTACCTGTATGTCAAGTTTCAGCGAAATCGCCCCAGTAATTACCGAGTTATTGAAATGAGAACCAATTTGGCACCTCTTCTTTTTGTATTTTGCACGTGCAGTGGGGGTCACTCACATAGATCAAGAGTATCCGACCTTTGGTAGAAGGGATGCAGCTACCCTTAAAAAATTACCGTAAGACAATCGCCCAAGCGGCTGCTGAGATATGAGCCTCTCAAAATCACTACTTTTGCAAAACAGCTTGAACACCCTTGACTTTTCACGTGGCACGTGCCACGCCGGTCACTGAGATGTATCAAAAGTAGTCAATTACGGGGTAGAAGGGATACCCAGCAAAAAAGACCGCAGGCCAATCGGTCCAGCGGTTGCTGAGATATAGGCCTCTCAAAAGCGTTACAGGCCGGGCCGGGCCGCTCATACTGAGATTTTTCCGTTATATTGAAAAGACTTCTCTTCGCTCGCTGCGCTCGCTCGTTCGTAACAAAACCACCAGCGTGGAGCTCCACCATGTTTTCCGCATCTATTTACTTTGCATCTTTTTAGCACATCTTTAAGTGGTCTTGTCTCCGAAGACGATCCGAACAGACCCTATCCGGTACACTCTGACAGACCCTGTCCGGCACGGTACCCTCTGACACACCCTGTCCGGTATCCTCTGACAGACCCTGTCCGGTACCCTCTGACACACCCTGTCCGGTAGGCACCCTCTGACAGAACCCTGTCCGGTACCCTCTGACAGACCCTGTCCAGTACCCTCTGACAGACCCTGTCCGGCACGGTACCCTCTGACAGACCCTGTCCGGTATGGTACCCTCTGACAGACCCTGTCCGGTATGGTACCCTCTGACAGACCCTGTCCGGCACGGTACCCTCTGACGGAGCCTGTCCGGTACCCTCTGACAGACCCTGTCCGGTACCCTCTGACAGACCCTGTCCGGCACGGTACCCTCTGACAGACCCTGTCCGGTACCCTCTGACACACCCTGTCCGGTACCTACCCTCTGACAGACCCTGTCCGGTACCCTCTGACAGACCCTGTCCGGTACGGTACCCTCTGACAGACCCTGTCCGGCACGGTACCCTCTGAAAGACCCTGTCCGGTACCCTCTGACAGACCCTGTCCGGTACCCTCTGACAGACCCTGTCCGGTACCCTCTGACAGACCCTGTCCGGTACCCTCTGACACACCCTGTCCAGTACCCTCTGACAGACCCTGTCCGGCACGGTACCCTCTGACACACCCTGTCCGGTACCTACCCTCTGACAGACCCTGTCCGGTACCCTCTGACAGACCCTGTCCGGTACGGTACCCTCTGACAGACCCTGTCCGGCACGGTACCCTCTGAAAGACCCTGTCCGGTACCCTCTGACAGACCCTGTCCGGTACCCTCTGACAGACCCTGTCCGGTACCCTCTGACAGACCCTGTCCGGTACCCTCTGACACACCCTGTCCAGTACCCTCTGACAGACCCTGTCCGGCACGGTACCCTCTGACAGACCCTGTCCGGTACGGTACCCTCTGACAGACCCTGTCCGGCACGGTACCCTCTGACAGACCCTGTCCGGTACCCTCTGACAGACCCTGTCCGGTACCCTCTGACAGACCCTGTCCGGCACGGTACCCTCTGACAGACCCTGTCCGGTACCCTCTGACAGACCCTGTCCGGTACCCTCTGACAGACCCTGTCCGGTACGGTGCCCTCTGACAGACCCTGTCCGGCACGGTGCCCTCTGACGGAGCCTGTGGCGGCACGGTACCCTCTGACAGACCCTGTCCGGCACGGTGCCCTCTGACGGAGCCTGTGGCGGCACGGTACCCTCTGACAGACCCTGTCCGGTACGGTGCCCTCTGACGGAGCCTGTGGCGGCCAGGTCGCGCCATGTGACCGGTGCCGGGCCGGGCGGCGCGGACGCCGCCAGCTCCGAGTCGGCCTCGCTGGTGCGTCACGCCACCAACCCGTTCATGTGCTACACGGAGGGCGGCGCGCCGGCGCCGGCGCCGGACGCCGAGGGCGCCGCGCCGCCGGCCAGCGCGCCGCCGGTCGCGCCGCTCGCCGACACCGCCGAGCTCGACACCGAGGATAGCGTGCTCAGCCAGTTCCACGAGGACGCCATCCGACAGGTGAGGCCACACCGGGCCGGCCACAGACTCCTGTGCCTGATCAGAGACTCCTGGGCCGGCCAGAGACTCCTGTGCCGGAACAGAGACTCCTGTGCCGATCAGAGACTGCAGTGTCTGGTCAGAGACTCCTGTGCCGGATCAGAGACTCCTGTGCCGATCAGAGACTCCTATGCCCGATCAGAGACTGCAGTGCCGGATCAGAGACCGCAGTGTCTGATCAGAGACTGCAGTGCCGGATCAGAGACTGCAGTGTCTGGTCAGGGACTGCAGTGTCTGGCCAGGGAGTCCTACACTTTTGGGACACTCCCATTACATCATGCCATTTTTGTGTCAAATACCTAGATGCCGCAAAAGGTGTCTTAAATTGGTTAACATTATGTGCAACCGTTTTTACGCTATGAGCGCAAATACTTGCTTACTCCGTTGCCACTACACCTATTATTCCAATTTCACCCTGATTACACACCGGCTTATATGACCTGGCGAGTCGACCTTCAACGACTTGGAATAAATGTTTTTTTTCAGAAAATGTGCGAAATAAGCTCCGTGCCACCGTTTCAACGCTAACTGCGAAAAAAGCCTTGAGATGCATCGGCATCATCATAGAGGGGCATCATCCCTGGCCTGGCGAGAGCTCAGACGACGCATAGGTCAACATATGAGACACCATATGCCAGTGACCTGACCTGACCTGAGGCCAGCTTTACCGATATAAAAATCGTTGTCTGGCAGTAGCTTTATTTCCTTAAGTATCCCAAATGTTTTACAAGTCACGCACGGAATAACTACTGATGTGAAAACAATGCAGATAGGTTGCCTAATGTTACTTTTCATATCAGTTTATAGTTATTTTTTCGAGTGACAGACGAACACCGAAGGTGATTTGGAGAGAACGTCCGCAGCCGGCGATTTTCTCTTAGCAAAGGTAACATCTGAACTGAAAATGTGGTTGGTGTAGTACAAGATCCAACTCGAGTACTACGTGATGTTCATGACATGATATCCGAGAACCATTGAAGTCCGCCTGGTTTTATTCTTTATTCATGTGATGTCCTCAAAAATCATTTTCATTCCCTGAAAATTTCATGACCCTGACCCAAATGACCTTTGAACTGTGAGTTGTGACCTACTTTTCGAGGCCATGTTTGGCCGGAATCGCGATTCGGCGTATGTCGGCTCGCATTAGCCGCGCGTTTGCAGTCTTTATGTGGTTTCAAGCGCTCAAACATGTGAAATGATGTTGGTTCCATACATTAGGGTGGGTGTCAAGGTCACCTGAAGGTCAGATCAGGTCATTGATCTTTGGTGACCTTGGTTCACTATTTCGAGTTTTACATTTTTCTAGGCCAGTTTTTGGAGCTGAACTCGAATTTAGCAACCATATGAACATTTACGAAGTAGTTTTGGTGCCTTCGGAACATGTTACGAAGCTGTCAAAGGCGGTTGACACCTTCTACGAATACCCGGCAGGACCCCTACTGATTGACCTGACCTGACCTGACCCGACTTGGCCTAAATGCATGAAGACATCATCTGTGCTCAAAACTAGCATAATATTCGTGATCTACATCCCGAAAACCCCATAGCAGCCACACTTTACGACGTTCTAACAGGTCCGGATTTTCCCGACTTTTGGGTCATTGACCTGAACTGGAAGTTCAAACAATGACCTAGGACCTTAAAATTGGGTATCATCGGCTTCGTCTTGTGACGGGCAACACGCTCGTTTTTTTCCGCGAAGCACTAGCTCGATCGGGGGCGAAACGGCAAGGTGGGGTCCAACGGACCCGCTCCCCCCCCCTTATACGCTCGCGGCTGGAAAAACACCAATACGGGCGAGGGATAAAACTACACTATATATCCCCGCAATTCCCATTAACCAAAGATTTTGGTGATACCATTTAGTTTTAAAAAATTTAAATTTTAATTTTTCAACTTGGAATGATTTATAAAAAAAAACAATTTGGCCGTCGTTTTCGGAATTTATTTTTGCTTCTACAATCTTACCATGATAATGATTATGACAATGATAAAAATATTACAAACATGTTTTCCCCCAAAAGGTCGCTATACAGCATTGAATTTTATCGTACAGAGGCAAAAATAACAATAACTGTCAACTGGTCTGGACCACCACCCTTGTGGCGCAGTTGGCAAGTGCGTTCACGTTTGGTGTGGGAGGTCCTTGGATCAAAGCTGACCTCTGGCAGCGTTTTCCTTGGCCGGCTCCTACCCAGGAGATGGCAGTAACTGGGGAGTATTCGCTCGGTCGTGGGGATTACCGCTGTGCCAGCCAGCGCCCCCGGCCGCAGGTACACGGGCCTGATCCGCCTTTAAACAGATCCTTCGGTCCGGTGACATGTCCCGAGGGCACGGCCTCGCTTCATGTCCCGGAGCAGCCCTCTGACCTGCCGGGCCCGAGAAATCGGGATAGCCCCAGCGTGCGCACCAGTGCGGTGCCACCTGGGGTGCGTGACAGGAAGCGTGCGGTCAAGGCTGTCCCGCGTAGCGGGTGCCGAAAACGCTTCGTACCACTGCCGTGTATATAGTGTACTAACCCAGTATGAATGTGTGCTACTAACGACAAAAGCCCGGGTCGGGCAACAAAAATATTTTAAAAAAAACTGGTCTGGACCAACTTTGGTCAAATGTGATCAAAATCTTATCGCAACTCAAATAAGTTTTCTAAAGATATTTTAAGACGCATACGAAATTCAAGTTGAAACCCAAAGAGCCATAATGGCCAAGGTCATAGGCCATACTGGCGCATGGTTCTCCAGAGAGCGAGGTTTCCCTCTGCGGCCGAAGGAGCATTGTTATCCGCCTCTGGCGCTTTTCTCACCGCTGCACTGCTGTACGGTCATAGATACTAACTGCTGGGAGCGCACTTAGCGCACTGGTGACAGGGCGGCGGCGAAAATTGTTACAACTTTTCTTTGATTGATCTTTTGACACATAGGCTCATAAGTGAGCCTATGCAAGTTAATTTTTTTAGGGTTGGAGGGTCCCTTTAACCCGCGCCCTGCTGGGGGGTGTTTGAACACCCCCCTTGTGGTTTTTCGCGAATATCTCAAAAACGGCGGCGCTCCGCGCCGCCGTTTTTGGTACACGTTACCATACATCAATTCTACACATGTTGTGAAAATTTCAGACCAAGGTCATTCAAGGTCAGGTCACCAGGTCACTTGAAGTGACCTCACTTCATAAAAAGTTTCAATGTCTGCCATTGCTACACCGAGTGACAGATCGCTCTGAAACTTTCAGCGATTGATAAGGGTAACAGTATCTATAAAATGTTAATCTCAGAATTTTGATATCGGTGACCTAAGGTCAGGTCAATTTTGCGACCTCCCCATTATAAGTCAATGGGAGAAAATTGAAATGCGCCTCTTTTGGACGAAAGACATTATAAACACTCCCAAACACTGAATTACAAGTGGTTTAAACACACTGAACATGAAAATGGTGTCCGTGACCCCTATTTATGCCCCTGAGGTCATCTCAGGTCACGAATGGTGTCTAACAGTTTTTCGCAAATAACTTTTGATAGAGGCATGCTAGAGCGGTGAAAACGCCTTAGATGTGTTCAGCTCGACGATACGGATCGACTGATATGCAACATGATCTTTTCCGGTCAGGTCATGACCTTGACCTGAGGTCAAATTTTCAAGTTGACCTTTCAAGGTCAAGTTATAGTTCATTCGATGCGTCTTGACGAGAGGAACACGATGCCGGTAAAGGTAAGCTCGCACAAGGCTTGGGTCAAAAATTATTGCAGAAAAACTGTTTCCGAAAAAATCGGCTATTTTTTCAGTTTTTGCCCCCTGCAGGCAAAACCGTTGACGTTAGGTCAAATCTGAGAGAACTAGTCAGAAAGGGCGTTAATAGGGCTATCGAATGCGCTTTTCCGCGGCGCTTTAGCTCTATTGGTTCCCGAGTTATGCGTTGGCTTCCTGGAAATTGTCGACATTCGACCTGAAAATCGGCGAAATTTTGCCTTCAATGACCTCTGGTGACCTGACCTTTGACCTGACCAAAAAAGTGACCGAAGTGATTTCGTCATTATTTTTGGCGCTCTTTCGAACGCCGCCTTCTGCGTATCGCTACATGGCCCAGGAGCCGAGTTAGAAGGGGGGGGGTGTTCAAACACCCCCCCCCCGAGCAGGGCGTGGAAATCCAGGACCCCCAGCCGGGCGCGGGTTAATCAGTGGATGCTGTAAAGTATAGTCCAAAACAAACGCAAATATACAAATGGCGCACAATACGCCGTCTGATCCCAACAAAACCACCCATTTCTGGAGGGCGTGGTTTCTTAGGACGTAAAATACACATTGGGAGTAAAAAACTACCAAGTTGTATTAATTGTTGGCTGGAAGCAAAAGCACTAGGTACTCCGGCACCGAGTCCACTAGTCCCATCCCCGGCTGCCCAGTGCTGGCGGCTGCCCGTCTTCCACCAGGCACTGTCCGCAGCGCGGTGTTTTCCCAGTGGCGGGGGGGGGGGGGGTAGGGTAGGGGCGCCAGCGCCGATCGATTCTTGGACGGGCTTCCGCATGAAAACACGCCTGCAGTGCCCCCCCCCCCCCCGAGAGCGCCTGCAGTGGTGTTGGGGTCGCTGGTCTGTGAAGCCACTGGGCCGCTGCATGGGTCTGTGAATCCAGTGGGCCGCTGGTCTGTGGAGCCACTGGGCCGCCGCGCTGGTCTTTGAATCCAGTGGGCCGCTGGTCTGTGGGCGTCACTGCGGGGTAAGCGATTGGAGCCGCTGGGTCTGTGTGTCAGAGTCTGGGGCCGCTGGTCTGTGGGCGTCACTGCGGGGTCAGGGACTGGGGCCGCTGGTCTGTGGGGTTCTAGGGTCTGGACTCTGGGGCCGCTGGTCTGTGGGTCAGGGACTGGGGCCGCTGGTCTGTGGGTCAGGGTCTGGACTCTGGGGCCGCTGGTCTGTGGGGTCCTAGGGTCTGGGTCCGCTGGTCTATGGGGTCAGGGACTGGGCCGCTGGTCTGTGGGGTCAGGGACTGGGTCAGCTGGTCTGTGGGGTCCTAGGGTCTGGGTCCGCTGGTCTGTGTGTCAGGGTCTGGGGCCGCTGGTCTGTGGGTCAGGGACTGGGGCCGCTGGTCTGTGGGGTCCTAGGGTCTGGGTCCGCTGGTCTGTGTGTCAGTGACTGGGGCCGCTGGTCTGTGGGTCAGGGTCTGGACTCTGGGGCCGATGGTCTGTGGGTCAGGGACTGGGGCGCTAGGACCGCTGCACCGGTCAGCACTTAACCCGGCAGTTGCTGGGGTATTTCGCCACCCACCGTTTGCTGGGGGGGGGGGGCGTTAAACGCCCCCAGCCGATAACTCGAGAACCAATAGGCGCAGCGAAACGCACGAGGCGGCAAACGAAAGAGCGCGACGAGACGCTTCAGATGAGTACTTTAAAGTTGAACTTTGAGGTCACAGGTCGGGTCAAGGTCAGGTCAAACACCTGAAATCGGGCTTTCAGTAGCATGGATTTCAGGACTTCGCAATGGGCGCCTCTCGCCATAAACTCTGTCAAAACGGTGCACAATCCATCTTATAAGGCCTACAAGAGTGTCAGCTCCATGTAGGGGTCAGTCAAGCATAGGTCAGGGTCAAGGTCAGGTCAACCGGGTAGGCACATATCCCCGAAAATCAAAACTGATATTCGCAGCCTGTGACACATGTTTAATAGGTAATTTGGGGCGTAGAACACGATGGTGACATTCATTTTATCATATGTGTACGTGTTTGGCTAAAAAAGTTCAATTTAAGAAATTCATGTATCATGGTCGTAAAGTAGTCACGAAAAATTGCCAAGATTCAGTTCAAGATTATGGAAAATGCGGAACGATAATTAATAATCGAAGATATCCATTTGATTGATCATGGTATTGGCAGTCTAATGGCGTTTACGGCATGTCTATATGTCTATTCTGTGATTTTATATGATTTTTTGAACATATGCCGTTTTTGGTCGAAAACTCAGAAATCATGACGTCACTCAAACCTCGATATCTCAAAAATTTTCCGACCGATTTTTTTTGAAACTTTGTCACAATAAACTTCAATCAATTCCCTACAGGTACCTAAAATTTGGCGCGCCTGCGGCGCGCCGTTTTTATGCTATGGCCTGGCGAAAAAAGTGGGGGCGTTTAACGCCCCCCCCCCAACAACTCGCGGGTTAAAAGCACCACTGACAGAGATGGGTTTAGCTGCATGCTATACGCAGTACGTACATACATCCTCATAGTGTTGGGATGTCCCCAGTCCCACCCATCCGTGATTTTCAGGCAGCTATTTTTCTGAATTGTGTGCGTACTATACCTTGTTAGTTTTTTTTTTAAGTTCGACCCTCACTGTAAACATCTCTTTGAACAAAGCACAAGAAGTGGTAGCTGAATTACTGAGAAAACTGGTGGCGCACATTGATTTCACAGACGATAACTGTATCAAACTGTTTCTATGTACTTATTCCAAGGCTCGCAGCTCGTATTTGCCCATCTTTACAACCCCACAGGGATAGACGACTTGTCAGGATTATAACTGAAGTGATCAATAAATTGCACGGCGTTTAACATGACGGTATATAATCGGTGTTCAAAACTTATTTTTAAAACGTAACTCATAATTCCAACACAGTGTGCACTAACCAGTTTTCTCAGTAATTCAGCTAGCAATTCTCGTGCTGTGTTAAAGAAGATGTTAACAGCGAGGGTCGGACATAAAAACGAACTACCGTTGCCAGTTGCCACTCATTGCACTATCATCACTACTCAGCTATATGTAGATGCATTGATATCCAATGTGCGCTCATATCAAAATAAGGTATTTATACCTCTGTCTCTGTTTGTCTCTGCCTGTCACTGTCTGTCTCTGTTTCTGTCTTTCTATGCTGGTCTCTATCTGAATCGGTCTCTGTCTCTCTCTCCCTCTGTCAGTTGTCCCTAGTCTCTGTCCGCCTGTCTGACCTGGTCTCTGTCCGCCTGTCTGACCTGGTCTCTGTCCGCCTGTCTGACCTGGTCTGTGTCCGCCTGTCTGACCTGGTCTCTGTCCGCCTGTCTGACCTGGTCTCTGTCCGCCTGTCTGACCTGGTCTCTGTCCGCCTGTCTGACCTGGTCTGTGTGTGCCTGTCTGACCTGGTCTCTGTCCGCCTGTCTGACCAGGTCTGTGTGTGCCTGTCTGACCTGGTCTCTGTCCGCCTGTCTGACCTGGTCTCTGTCCGCCTGTCTGACCTGGTCTCTGTCCGCCTGTCTGACCTGGTCTGTGTGTGCCTGTCTGACCTGGTCTGTGTGTGCCTGTCTGACCTGGTCTGTGTCCGCCTGTCTGACCTGGTCTCTGTCCGCCTGTCTGACCTGGTCTCTGTCCGCCTGTCTGACCTGGTCTGTGTCCGCCTGTCTGACCTGGTCTCTGTCCGCCTGTCTGACCTGGTCTCTGTCCGCCTGTCTGACCTGGCCTGTGTGTGCCTGTCTGACCTAGTCTCTGTCCGCCTGTCTGACCTGGTCTGTGTGTGCCTGTCTGACCTGGTCTGTGTCCGCCTGTCTGACCTGGTCTCTGTCCGCCTGTCTGACCTGGTCTCTGTCCGCCTGTCTGACCTGGTCTCTGTCCGCCTGTCTGACCTGGTCTCTGTCCGCCTGTCTGACCTGGTCTCTGTCCGCCTGTCTGACCTGGTCTCTGTCCGCCTGTCTGACCTGGTCTGTGTGTGCCTGTCTGACCTGGTCTGTGTCCGCCTGTCTGACCTGGTCTCTGTGTGCCTGTCTGACCTGGTCTCTGTCTGCCTGTCTGACCTGGTCTGTGTGTGCCTGTCTGACCTGGTCTGTGTGTGCCTGTCTGACCTGCTCTCTGTCCGCCTGTCTGACCTGGTCTGTGTGTGCCTGTCTGACCTGGTCTGTGTGTGCCGCAGGCCGGGGTCGGCTCGTTTCAGCTGGTGCTGTTTCTGGTGCTGGGACTCAGTCTGGCCGCCGACACCATTGAGCTGTTTGTGGTCGCCTACGTCATCCCCAGGTCGGTCCACTGCACTTTGGTAACAGCCGCAATAAGGTGTAAACAATTATAATTGAGTGAAGAATCCTAACGTACCGTATGGATAATCTGGCACATTACATCGGTTCATATAATAAACCAGAACGATCAAATAGCTCGAAATTGGGGGACTTTTAACCCATTTATGCCCAGGAATATTGACCATCATGAAAATCGACGAAATCAAAATATGTTATGCTCCTACAAGGGCCTTGCATGGAATCGAAAATAATTTTTGCCTGCAGCAAAAGTTTTTCGAGAAAAACGTAAAAAACATGCGTTGCGAAATCGCAACGAAGGGCACACCGGGCGCCATCAGCGTTGCGAAAACGCAACGACGGGCACTCCAGACGGACATAAAGTATACACTGAACTGCCGTATATGCTAATTTGTTTTGACAAAACATCAATCAACTGTTGACAACTATTGCTTGAAAATGCGGAACCCACATCCGTCATGCTCTATAACCCGCCTAAGAGCCTCAGTGAGGAAGCATAACTTCATGATTCGCGAACGGGGAGATGGCAACACGGTCATTATCAACCATTTACGTTGTCCATTGCTGTTCATTTAAAGTTGTGGTCGACACGTATCCAGGGTGATGTTTTCTTTTTGAAAACTAGACAGAGCCATTACCCCCACCTATCAAACCCCACACTAATACAATTAAACGGAGGATTGGGAGTAAACCAGTGCCTCACGTATGCGCGTATATCCGCAATCATTGTTAACCACCCTCCTAGGAGTAAAGTTAATTTCCATTGCAGGTTAGTCGTACCCACTCTCAGTAAAAAAAGGACCGATCCGGCTCTAACAAATAACCCGCGTAAGGCGTAGCGCATCACAACAAATCGACTCCCAGTTTATCATGTTTACACCTAATCCAAAATTTTCATGGCCCCACTCTCAGCGACCTTCACGTGTAACCTCTTTCTCGAGACAATGCCAGGACAGAATGGTGATTCGACGTCAATCCGTCCTTTCCATCTTTAGGATAGTTGAATCCTCCTCCACGCCTCAACCCCCTGTTCCGGGCTGGACCGGCAACGTATATCGCAATCGGGCAGCTCACATAGGAGCGCGCCTGTAGCCGGGTGCAGTGAGTGCTTGGGAGGGGGGAAGGGGGTGGGTCATGGGTGGCCTGCCCACTGGCTGGGCTCAGTCTCCAGTCTACGATTAACCGTGTCCGGTCAGACAAATATCTCCCCTAATTCCAATAATCCTGCTAGCTCTAAAAATGGTCTGATTAGATAAAAAGCCTATCAAAGCAAGAAAACAAGCATATACTCTACATTAAGCAGCTTATGAATCTATGCGAGTTATGAATCCTAAAAATCATTATTTTCCCAGGTCCGCCCTCATTACCCCTGCCGAAGGGTTCAGCTACCCCCAGAGGGGGCCTATCCCACTATTTGCCGACCCTCAGTTATCTTTTCTAACGTAAATGTTGGTAGTCAGCAGATTCTATCCAGAGAATGGCGATGCCTATCGGTCGCCTGATACCAGAATACATCCCCCTTATTCATTATATATGCACAATGTACACAGTAGATCCAATTTCCAAAGGACCTAATTATCTCTCAGCTCCGTTAGCATCGCCGACCGTTTGATGCATGGGTCCTTTTCCTACCATGCGATTTTCAGATGCATGGGGACACATTGCTTAGTAACAGCCCGAGGCCGAAATCTGCGAGAGAATAAGAAAGGAGTGTTTGTGGCTGTTTGAGCCAGCAAATATGAAATGTGTCGCAACATTTTACGTGCGAACGCACCTTGCAATAAACATACCTATACACGTCCCTCGACCCTCATGGCATAGGCGGCGAAGCGCGGGGGGAGGGGGCACCGGGGCACCGTGCCCCCTTGATTTTGCCATTTTAACAATATCCCTATAGGCGTTGCATGGAAATGGAAATGGAAAGAATGGGACCAAAAGTCGGCAGTGCCCTTCCCCCCGCCCTTAATTGAAGATGTTCCGCCGCTACAGCCTCATGGCTACAAAATGAGAGAGAGAAAGAGAGAGAGAGAGAGAGAGAGAGAGAGAGAGAGAGAGAGAGAGAGAGAGAGAGAGAGGGAGAGAGTTGGGGAACGAGGAGGAGAGGGAGGAAGATGGGGGAGAGAAAGAGAGAACCCACAGCGTATCACGAGTGAAGTCTATTGTTGATATTCATACTTCCGCTACCCTGCAAATGTGCCCATCGTTGCGTTTTCGCAACACCGCTGTCTTTCCGATGTGCCCTTCGTTGCGTTCCCGCAACGCGACCGTAGTCATATTTGAAAATAGTCACAAACCCTTTTTGTAGCATTATTTCTTAACAAAATGCATATCTACGCTATTGTAAGGACTCTGCAGAATATGTTTACACAATTTTCATTACGATATTGTTAAGCACTTAGCCTACTTATCTTGGTTTTCGTGACGTCATCACTCACAAAACCTTCGACTTCCCTCTGGGAGCTCTAGGCAGTAACTTACCGGCCGCACAGACTTGTAACTGCGTAGCATCATGCGCGCAACCATGCTACACACGCTGAAACTTGTCTCATCGGTTAGTCTCTTTTACACACTTCTCAAGCTTCGATCACGTCGACGCTTGCTTGCGTTGCGAAAACGCAACGAAGGGCGTAAATGGGTTAAAATCTAGTAGGAACGAGAGTGGGGTGGGTAGCGTGACCGGGAGGGCTCATTGGTCGCCCAGCCTGTGCGATAGATGACAAAAGCAAATGAAATGACTTCAGCCTGTAATAACCTGTCATGACTTGCTACGTGGTGGAAATGCAGTAACCCTTCTCGGACCTATTGGTTTTTACAGTTAGTACCAGACATGTGCATGTATCCGAACGATGGATGTATGATCTCAGTGGGCCTCAGTTGATCTCGAAGCAAACTGAAGGCTATAATCTATGATCCCATCGGATCCGGCGTGAAAAATTGATCTTGGATCTATGAGCTCATACTATTTAATGATAACTAAGTACAATGTACAGCCCACAGCTAAAGTAATGTACGGTTTTACCAATCTCAACGGTTGGCTTTGACTGGCGATTGTTTAATGCGGAGTGATCGAAAAGAAGATGTCAATAGCTAAAGTTGCAGCTGCAAGGGTGACGATACATATAAGCTACATTCAAAGTTTCATTGTAGTCTGGCTAATCGTTCCTAAGCTTCAGAAGCAAAACATACCCATGACTGAAACCCCACATTACTTCTGCTGTGGACTGTACATACATGGATCTATGATATGAGTGGATCCCCCCCATGCACAACATTAGGAACCGTGTTTTAAGGGTTTCTTTGTCAATAACTGCCACAAAACAATGGATTATGACGTGCAATCACATAAAACTACTAAAACAGAACGTTTGTGAGTTGCAACAAACAAGTGTTTTTTTTTCGGATTTTTGTGTGGACAAAAACAAGTGAGGATCAATGATCTCACTGGATCTCATGCGAAAAAAAAGAAACTAGGATATGTGATCCCCACGGATCTCTCGCTAAATTAGAGGGCTGGATCTATGATCCCGTCGGATCCGAGATCAGGATCCGTGGAATCATATCCCAGATCCATTATCTCGGATCCATGCACATGTCTGGTTAGTACATACGTCCCCGCCGAGGCAGGGGTGGGTACGAGACCCCCCTCCCCCTCCTCACCGTTTCAACCCCAATTAAAGGTAGTGTGCCACCTTTGAAAGATTTCCCATTTTATTTTTCCTAGGATAAGAAGCTTCTGTTTTTACCTAATATCGCAAAAAAATCAAAAATGGGCCTGGAATAGTGCCTTTTTCGCCTAAAAGTTTATCGGTTTTTCGATATGTATAACAACTGTAGTGGACTGACATGCAAACAGGCGTCGGCAACAATCGCGAATGCGGCGCACATGTGACAATGAGCAAAGGTCATTAGAGAGTTACGACGTACGGGAATGAGTTATCAGCTGTCTAATCGTAGACAACACAATGTCGAGCCTTAAAGGGACTATCCCACCTTTAACATGGGGTTTGAGTTGAGATAGCCAAGTTTGCGGCGAGGTTCAGAAACCACTATCTATCTAGGTTGCAACCCCCGCGGCCTCTTGGTGTTGAAGAAATTCGTGCCCTTCATTTGAAAATGGGCCTTGTACAAGGCCCTATCTTCAACATGGAGCGACCGTTAGTGTGACGTCACCTCGTTTAGTCATTCTGATTTAAATGGGTTTGTTCGTTGAAAAATCGCTTAAAACTTGGTCTGAACTTTGTTGTGGTGCCTACAGAGTAAAAAGAATCAGCTTTATGACAGTAATGTGGCCTGGGGAAGGAGGTAATTTTGGGCTGTGACGTCACATATTTGAAAGTTTGTGTTTGGAATATGGGAAGCCTAAGATGTTTAATGAAAAATAAATGCCAGAACCGTGTTCCTGGTCATCCAATCTATAAAGTCGGGCTCAATTTAACTGGTTTTAACAACATTTTAGAAGGTGGGATAGTCCCTTTAAACTGTAAGCCTGTATTGGTATTGTTTCTTTTATTTGGCTGTCGAACATTATTTATGGTTTGAAATATGATTTTATGTGAAATAATTGATATGAAAAAGCCGTCTCTTAAGTTATGACCCCATTTCACCACACGCAAGTGGCAGAACTGACAATGATCAGCTGACGCATTTTTCTTGGCCGAAGTCAGAGCGCGCGGCCCGACGCACCACCACCGCACCACAAAGTATGAGCAGAAGCCGCGCCCAAAGCCAGGGCCCCGGTAACGTGAGGTAGCCGAGTCGGGGCAGCGTGCGCTGACCCAAGCCGAGGCCGCAGCTTTGGGCGCGGTCTACCGCATCCCCGCGGCCAGCCGCGGGCTATCACATGACACCGGGAGGACGCGCGGCCCCGGCTTGGGTCAGCGCACGCTGCCCCGATTCGGCTACCTCACGTTACCGGGGCCCTGGCATTGGGCGCGGTCTACCGCACCACCTTACAGGCGTGTTCGAAACCGCAGGAGATGATGATGAACGGGTTTATCGAAACTTGATTGGATGAGCATATCGGTAATAGCGATTTCAGTGTGTGCATTTATTGTTCATAGTGGTGTGAAATGTGGTTGGGGTACGACCGACAACCCGTCGGGGCGAATTTCGCACTGGGGTACTCAAAATTTGAAGAATTTAAGACGTTTCCATGAGTTTTGAAGGTATGGATAAGTTCTAAAAATCCGGTTCTCCTTATCTGGGCCATTAACTCCATACGGTCCAGGAAAGCTGGCACACTACCTTTAAGCTAGATACTCGTGGAAAAAGGCGCTTGCGCCTTTTACGAGACACAGCAGCTGGTGCCCGATTTTAAGGTCTCAGGTCAACCAGTGACGACTTTTACGATTTATTTTTGTTCTTTCTACGTTTGTTCTTTCTCCCCCATAATGCATGTTGATAGATAGGTATTGGATACAATTGATTTACATATATGTAAATTCTGGCTTCCTTGACGATCTCCTTTTCTTTCTCTCTCTCTCTCTCTCTCTCTCTCTCTCTCTCTCTCTCTCTCTCTCTCTCTCTCTCTCTCTCTCTCTCTCTCTCTCTCTCTCTCTCTCTCTCTCTCTCTCTCTCTCTCTCTCTCTCTCTCTCTCTCTCTCTCTCTCTCTCTCTCTTTCTCTCTCCCTTCCTTCTCGTTTCAGCGCTGAAGTGGAGCTGTGCATGACGAGCGTTCAAAAAGGCTGGCTAGGTAAGAGGCAATCGTCATATATGCAGAGCGTTTGCACTGCTATCATTACATCCTTAAAAATGTCATCGAAAAGAGCTTAACGTTTTAAGAAATGCCAGTAGTGGGTACAAGTAATTAGATATTAACACTGTTTGAGCATAGGTGCATTAAAGGTTTATTAATGTGCGTGCATTGTATATATGTACCAGGTAGGTTCGTACCTACTCAGCCCGCGCCGTGCTGGAGGGGGGGGGGGGCGTTTTTAACCCCTCCTCAGGTTTTCACGATTATCTAAAAAGCGGCTGTTTTTTGGTACACCTTATCACGCATCTTTTCTGCACATGTGAAAAATTAAGATTCTAGTCGTTCAAGGTCAGGTCGCCAGGTCACCTGAAGTGGCTTATTGGCGCATTTTATGTATATTTTCATTTATATTTTGCCGAAACATAATTATTGTATAAGTTAGGCTGTAAGGTAAGGCTGTGGCGCATATTCTGTATCTTTTCATTTATATTTTACCGAAACTTATACAATAATTATGTTTAGGTAAAATATAAATGAAACTATACATAAGATGCGCTACAACCTTACCTCAGAAAAAGTTTCAATGCTTGTTATAGCATACCGACCGGACAATCACATTGAAACTTTCGACGATTGATAAAAGTAATCGTGTTTATAGCATTTTAATCTCGGAATTTTGATATATGTGACATATATCAAACATATATATATTTTGATATATGTTGATATATGTCAGGGCAATTTTACGACCTCTCCATAAGTACTAAGTCAATAAAAGAAAATTGAGCGTCGTTTTAAATACTCTCAAACATCGGTTCACAGGTCAACATGTCACATGGAATCGGATACTTGCACCCGTGACCCCTCATTGTGCCCCTGGGGTCATCTCAGGTCATGAAAGATCCAAGCGTTTTTTTTTTTTTACACTAACGTTTGATAGAGACACGATGGAATGATGGAAACGCCTCAGATGAGTTCAGGTCAACGATATGGATCGACTGATATGCAGCATGACCATTTCCGGCCAGGTCATGACATTGACCTTAGGATCAATTGTCAAAATTACCTTTCAAGGGCAACTTACAGTTAATGCGACGCGTTTCGACTAGAGGAACACGATGCGGGAAAAAGTAATGTAGTGGCTTTCCTGAGAAGAGAGTTATAGCAGAAAAGGTTTTTTCCGTAGAAACAGCTATTTTTAGAGTTTGTGCCCTCTGGAGGCTAAACCGATGACCTTAGGTGAGATCCGAGGACGTAACCGAGAAAGCATGGTAAAAAACTATCGAATGTGCTTTTCTGCGGCGCTATAGCTTTATTGGCTCCCGAGGTATGCGCCGATTGGTAAAAAAATCGAATTAGAGAAAAATTGAGCTTTGATCACCTCTGGTAACTTGACCTTTGACCTGACCTAGAAAATGCCTGAAGTATTTTCTTCGTTATTTTTACGCTCTTTCGAATGCCGCTTACCGAGTGACGCTACGTGGCCCAGGAGCCGAGTTAGATGGAGGCGTAAAAGCCCCCCCCCCCCCCCAGCACGACACGGAAAACTCCGACCACCAGCACGGCGTGGGTTAAAAGCCGAAGCTCGGTAGGATACAGTTCACCGTTCCATGCTTCTATCCTCAGGATACTGAAATCCTTCTCCTCCACACCGCAACCCCCTCCGGGCTGGACAGGCAACTTTATATCATGCGGGCTGCTCCCTTGGAGCGGCACCGCTGCTCCCGAGGGAGCGCACCCCGTAGCCGGGTGCAGTGAGTGCCTTGGGGCTGGGTGGCCTGTCTTCGGACGGGCTCAGCCCCGGCGACTCACTAGGGTGCCTGCCCAGACCAATGTCTCCCCCTATATCCTATCATCCTCCCGGCTCTGAAATGGTCTTACTGGACCGAAAGGGCCTACCCCCCCCCCCCCCCAAAAAAGGATACAGTTAACCCTTCTGCCCCCTCAAGTCGATTCGACACCATACAGGAAATATTCAAAGAGGGCATTTGCATTTTGTTCCAGCTCAGTGATCCTAATCCTCGAGCTGTCGGTCCGTTGTGTTTCCTCCGACGGACAGAATGTTTCCCGCTAACAGTATAAGGTAACAGCTGTTCACTGGCACTAATCTGGCCTGAGCTGGCTAGTTGCCGTTCTGCCACGGCCGGTGGACGTGTAGCCGCGACTCGTGCAGCCGCGACTCGTGTAGCCGCGACTCGTGCAGCCGCGACTCGTGCAGCCGTGGCTCGTGCAGCCGCGACTCTGTAGCCGCGACTCGTGCAGCCGTGGCTCGTTCAGCCGCGACTCTGCGGCCGTGGCTCGCTATGATGGTCTCTATGTATGCCGGTCCGGTGGCTCGCTAGCTATGCTGGTCTCTATGCCGGTGCGGGGTGCGGCACTGCGCGATGCCGCCTCGGCAGGCCTTGCCCACTCCTGACCCCCCCCCCCCCCCTCCTCGACCTCTCGGGGACAGCTCGATGGCGCCCAGCCCATCGCGGCAGGCCGGCGCTGGTGCCGTTGTGTGCGGAGCCGGCCGGCCCGCGCCCAGTCACGTCGCTGGTCTCTCTCCGTGCCGCCTGGCCGGAGTTCCGGCACGTGGCGCTCCGGTAGAGGGCTCTCAGAGGGATCTCAGAGGGCTCTTCGCTGTCCATTTAGTGGCTCCACTCGGGTGGCCAATCCCTGCCTACCGAATATGGCAGCTGGAGGGGCAGACAAACCCCGTCCAGTAGCTGGAAGGACAGACAAACCTTGAACAGTAGCTGCTGGAAGGGCAGACAAACCCTGTCCAGTAGTCTGGGCAGACAAACGCTTTGAAGTTCAGCTGGATTACATGCCAGTCTCATACGTTTCCTTAGTCCTCGTATTGCTATCGGTCGCTCATTTACCTAGACAGTATTGCTTCTGACTTTTGGGACGCTATAGTTACCACCATAATGTTGCACAAATTCAACCACCAACCTTTGGCACTAAACACAAACTGTCAGTGTTTTTTACGGCCTCGGCCGTGGACAGAGGCTGCTTCCATCGAGTCTTTATCCCCCAGGGAGATTTCCTTTCAGCCAGGGAGGACAGTCTCTGCTCGGGGGGGGGGGAGACCCCTCTCAGTCATGGAGCTGAAGCTCTCATTTACCTAGCTCCAGTAAGTGACCGACGCAGCTGCCACGATCGGTCGGCCGGACATTGAGCGCTTTTCCATTTGCAATTCTAAAGCAGCTAAATCTTTGTTACGCTACATCTTCACGCTAGTTTGCACTTTTCTGAATGTAGGTAACCCGTACAGGTCCGTATTATTCCGGTATCCCGAAAAAAGATTACCAAAAGAATCTCCCCCAGTGGGGCGCGGGTTAATACAATTTGCAATGTTTATTCAACTCGTCTGAAATTTATAACATACTTTACCAATGCAATGAGAAGTAAGTGTACGAAAAGTTTCATGCGAATCGGGTGTGTTTAGCAGGAGTGTTGGAACGTCAAAAAGTCATACGATTTTAGCGCCAAACCAAGTCATTTTCCGCACCGCCGCGACTATTAGCGCCGATATTTGACCCGTATGCTGGCTCAGCTCATAGGCTGCGTTGAAAGTATATGGAAGCAAAATGTGTGTCCACAATTACTGCAATGTTCATCCGAGATCGAATTCTCAGTTAGACTTGTCAATAGCAATGCCGAGTACGAATGGACGAAAACTGTTTAGAAACCTATGGCTAAAACGGACCAATAATGCATCAACGAACGTATATGAACAGATGTGGACAGCATTTCAAGCACCCCCGGAACTGAAGAGCAGTGAAGCACTGCTGCAAATCACTGCCGTACCTACTACCTAGTACCTATGCATCGTTTTTTTCTGTTGCACTGAAGCACAAGGTACAGGGTTAGGTATCTACGGAAAAACCGTTGATTGTGTTCGAAGAATTCGTCTTCCATGCGCGACATTGCAGTTATAAGTGTTTTTGGTCATTAAAAAAAAAACACCTCACATGAAAAAATGAACCAAAATGCGTTCCAAATTACCTTATTAACTTTTCGTGGTCTTGGGTTAACGCTGTGTGAAAATGAATGAATTAATTCTGAAATACAAGTTGCATTGACATTTTCGTGTGGAAACTTATTGTCGGGACACCTCGGCGCTAAAATCATTCTTTTTCTTCTTTTTTTTTGCCACCAATCACCGTTCCTGCTAAGTACAACCGATTCGCATGAAACTTTCCCCGATTGCTTGTCATTGTATTGTTAATTAAAGCACGGAATAAAATTATGACGAACTGAACATAAAATGCAAATATTATTACAGATACTCTGAGTAATCTTTTTTTCGGGACACCCTGTACCTTAAAAACTTTTTTTATTATTTTTATTAAGTTATTGTTCAAGAAATCAAAAGCCTCATTATAACCAAAAAATAGATATAAAATAAAGTATAATCAAAGAAAGAAATAACAGTCTCGAACGGCCATGTTTTGTGCGGTGACGACTGACGACTACAGCAGCAGGACTCTGGGTCAGCGATCACTGAGGAAGTTTCATTACAATAACCAAGAATGTAGCACGCCTCAACATCTATTACAATTATTAAAATACCTACATTTAACAAGGACCATTGTAGACTGTCCCACCTTCTGTACTTAGCTCCTACGTTATGTGATGCGTACAAACGGCCGTGTGGTTGGATTCGGAGTGCTAGCGATTCGGCTCGGCCCGGCCCGGCTCGGGCGGGCGGGCGGCCCGGCCGGACGCTGATGGAACTTGCAGTCCCCAGTTGCCGAGGGCGCCGTTTGCATGCGTGTCTGGCAGGGAGTGCCGTTCGAGACAGATGGATTCTATTTCCTGGGTGCCGCCGGCGCCTTTCGTCAGTGCCTGCCCTCCTCGTCCCACCCACTGAACGGGAGCAGCTGGGCAGCGCGCCGCGACTGGCCAGCTGATCAGAGCTGGGGGAGGGGGGGGGGGTCTGGGAGGTCCGGCAGACCGGAGCTGGGAGGGCTGGCGGAGGGCTGGGAAGACTGACTGCAGGCGCAGCT